TTCATGGGCTTCCATGTTGGCCTAGGATAGATAGGGCCCAATGCCTCTCCCTTTACAGCATTGTCTCTCAAGGGTCAGTATCAATGAAGGAGTTAAACATAGAACAGAAGTACCACTAAGAGTCAGGCTGAAGCCAACCAATGTCTATTTGAAGTTGCCTCCATCTCCAGTTCTACCCCTACAACTAATCAAAGAGGCTGCTGTCCATCAAATGGTTAGCAGATATGAACCAATTACAAAATGTCTACAGGTACTCCACAGTCTCTCCAAGACTTTTCCATAACATGTCATCATGACTCACCCAGAAGCAGACTTTCCAGTTGCTTCCACATGGGAAATTGTATCTGTGGTACTGTTCATGCTTAGAGGGACTAGTCTCATTGACCAGTCCCCTATTGTATTATGAACCTTATGAGACATGTGGGCATAGTGGATAAAGAGATAGTCTTGGGGTCAGGAAGACCTGCATTGAAGTCTTACCTCTGCTGGCTGTATGACCAAGTCACTTAACTTTTCAGTGTCCCAGGCAATGCTCCAAAAGCATGTTGTTGTTTAGTCATTCAGTTGTGTTTGACTCTTTTATGACCCATTTGCAGTTTTCTTGGCAAAGATACTGGAGCAATTTGCCATTCATTTCCTTCTCCAGCTCATTTTACAGGTAAGGAAACTGAGGCAAACAGGGTTCAGTGACTTGCCCAGGGTTGCACAGCTAGTAACTGCCTGAGGCCAGATTTAAACTCAGGTCCTCCTGACTCCAGGGTCAGAGCTCTATCCACTAAGCATCCTAGCTGGCCCTCTAAAAATATAGGTGGCAGATAATCCACATTGATAGAGGAAGTTCCTTACCAGATGCTTCCTATACCAATTAAATCAGAGATCCAGTCCCTTCCCCACAACACCCTCTTAAAAAAAAAGAACCACATGAAAGATTCATCTACTTGCATTAACTTGATAAACATCTTCCCCACATCACTGAAAAACCACTGTCTGTGAGACTGATTAGATTTATTCCAGGGTAGCTTTGATCCTGCTCTTTCTCCCACCACAGTATTGTTCTCTTCTTATACTGAAACATTTCAGAGACAGGAAGAAAAGTACCTCTTCTGTCAGAAGGCAAAAATCACCTATGCAAGCAGAATATAGATTGGCCTCCATATGCTGCTGATGCTAGGACCTTTCTCCCTCCTTCTTTCTCAAAATAAATTGCATGACTCAGGAGATGTTACACTCAAGGACTCAGAGACCGCACAGCTTTCCCCACCCCAACCATTTACTTCATTGATTTGATTTTAATTCAGTTCAGTGAACATTTATTAAGCACCTATTATATGCCAAGCGCTGTGCTAAGTGCTAGGGATACAATGACAAAAAACTGAACAGCATCAGTGAGGGAGGGAGGGGGAGACAGAGAACAATTGAGATGGCAAACTGGACAGCGTCTGTGGAAAAAGCACGTCTACTCCTTCATCCCCAGATACTGGCACCTTAAGATAAGGTCCTGGTCATCCCCAACTGTAGCTATAGCATTGTCAATAAACGATTTCATATCATCTCCAAAGCATTTGCTATTGGCCATGCATCTAGCAAGAACAAAGAGCAGATCTTCTCTTCACTCTTCCCCTCAGCGACCTTCAGAATGCCCTGCCCAGAGGAGAGTCCCAAGTACAAACTTTCCAGTGAAACAATGTAACCTCAAACCTTACCATCTGTCCTATTACTGTGTCCCAAAAATCAGGCAAGTCTTTCTATTTGCCCTCTTGCTATGCCCTCCAGATCCTGGGGCATTGTTATTTTACCAGCAAATGCAACCTAAAGAACCCTGGGCCCTACCATCTACCCTATGGCTGAACCCTTAAAACTTCTGAGCCTTTCTAATTGGCCTACAGTTAATTCATATTATCTCCCCCAATACAGTGTGAATTCCTTGGCAAAGAACTGCCCTAGGTTTTTTTGTATGTTTTTTTGTTCAGGTGTTTTTCAGTTATGTCCATCTCTTCATGACCCCTTTTTCAGGTTTTCTTGGCAAAGTTACTGGAGTGGTTTGTCATTTCCTTCTGCAGTTCATTTTATAGATGAGGAAACTGTGGCAAACAAGGTTAAGTGACTTGCTCAAGTTCATACAGCTAGTAAGTATTTGAGCCCAGATTTGAACCAAGGTCTTCCTGACTCCAGGCCTGGCACTTTACCCACTGTGCCACCTACCTGCCCTTTATGTACGTTTAGTTTTGCTATTTGTATCCCCAGCTTTTCACACTATGTGCCAAGCTTCTCCATTCATTTATTCATGTTGCCTGTCTGATATAGCATTCTAAGTCCCCACTTTTACCTACAGTTAAAAGGATTAGCAAAAAAGAAGACATCACCAGCCTTTACAGGCAAAGGGATAAGAAATGTCAGTTAGAAGACTAGAGTCAGCCTTTCTCTGAGCCATAAGCTTTTTTATTCCAATATTCTACTTGATCTGCTCATTTCAGACTTGAGCTACTGGGGACCTTTCCAATCTTCTGACTCATTCTCACCCAATGAGACTCCGACTGTACATCCTTTCCTACAAAGTATATGTATAAAAAAATAAATCAAATAAATAAAAAAGTATATGTATTCATGCAATGCCTGGAGAATTAGCAGTAGAGACAGTTAGGTTTGTGGTCCCTTAAAGGAAACGACAGCCAGCTCCTATTGACTTGAGCCAGTTGTTAAATTTTCAGCAAATGCTACACATCAGAGATTGATTTATGATAGCCTAGACTTTAAGAAAGTGATTCAGAAAATGTTAATGATCCAGATTAAAATTCAAAGTGTGTCCTGCTGTTTCAGAGAGTGAGGGGTCACCAAAAATAAAGAAAGTAGGTATCCCAGGGTCTTGACTCTTGCTCCCTCCTCTTTACAACTGACAAGGCTCCTGAGGTGTTAACATGACACCTTATCCCTGTGACAGGCACCAAGTAAATCTTGAGCTTACTTGAAGTCCTGATTTCTGAGTGTGATTGCTTTGCATTTGGGCTTTTTCCTGTCAGGGTAGAGAGGATCAGTTCCAATGCTAACAAGCTTTCCTCTCCCAAGAAAAAGCAATACCAGAGTTATCCTGCCATCAAAGCTGTCATAAAGCATTTTCCATAGATGATATTCATGGGCCAGATTCAATACTTTTTATGTATGTAAAGTAACTACAAAAAGAATACTGGAGCAAGCTCTAATTAGGGTAGGAAAGCAGCCTCTGGCTCAGTGATTTCATTTTTACTCTTTCTTCGTGAATTATGTAGTGATATTCTGAGGATTAATGACAACATAAATTAATAGATGAGAGCATAAAATAAATTAGAGCCATCTACACATTCTACTTTCTGACAAGCAAGCTAATGTTCTCTGTCAGTCATGTTACCAAAATCAACATAGGTCACCAAATGAGGGGCTCATTTCATTACTTCATAAAGGAAATCCAGAGAGATATTTTCCATGTCTGGTTTTTAATTAAATCATACCTCATAAAATGACAGTGGATAGCTATGCTGGGGGTCAGGAAGACCTGGGTTCAAATCCTGCCTTTATCATATACTGGCATCCCTGTAAACTTTCCAAGACTCTAAGTTACAAATGTTTTGCAAATATGCATAGATGGAGGGAGTTTTTATAAATTCTTTATATAGATGAATCCATAGGCCCACACCAAATCTAACCACCCACCTAGTGACTTCCTAGAAGCCAAGACTTGGAACCAAAATTGGCAATCAAAATTAAGCATACAACATACACCACAGTAGAGCTGATCCAAGCTCTATACCCATATTGACTTTCAGTCGGACTTGTCAATGTGATGCCTTGACTTGGCAACTCAATCCACAGAATTCTACAGGCAGACCTAGCTGCTTTGTTGATATTTCTACATAATTAATAAATCATGGAATGTTAAAGCTGAAAAGGACCTTGAATGTGATCTCTTCTAACTCCCTCGTTTAAAAAATAAGGATACTGGGGCCCAGAAAGGTTATGTAAATTCTCCAAGGTTACGTGCCAGGGGGCAGCAATATTGAGAGAGAATTGGAGAGTAAATGACTTCTAAGGTTCCTTCAAAACCTAAAATTCTGGTTCTATGGCTTTAAGAGAAATGTACTATGTTTTAGAGACTCCATTACATCTATAAGTTTTCTTTTCATTTTAGTAATATTAGGTGAACTTAAACAAATTAAATCCTATCCTCCTATTCATTCAAAAAATGTTTATTGGGTACCTACTATTTGTGATACATAAGGCAGCTAGGTGGCACAGTGGATAGAGCACTGGGCCTGGAGTGAGGAACTCATCTTCCTGGGTTTAAATCCAGCCTCAGACACTTACTAACTCTGTGACTCTGGGCAAGTCACTTAACCTTGTTTGCCTCAATTTCCTCATCTGCAGAAATGAGCTAGAGAAGGAAATGGCAAACCACTCCAGTATCTCTGCCAAGAAATCCCCAGATAGGGACATGGAGATTTGGACTTGACTGAAAAACAATTGAACAGCAAAAAAAATATGTCCGATGCAAAGCTCCTTCAAAAAGCTAGTGTAACAACACAGAAAGTCTTCTGGGCCCAGGAGTCCTAGGATACTCCATCTCTCCCTCTCAGAGGCCTCTAGCTCTGGACTCATACATGTATAACAGGTTTAAGCCTGAGGGATCCTAGCCCCAAAAGAGTGGAACAAGTACATCTTTTTTTTAAAATCTTGACTTCTCTAGCTCTTAATGTTTGGCTTTGTAGCCCCAGGTACAATCACTGAAAGTTTAAATTTGGTTCATGTTGCCCCAAAAAAAGAGGAATAGAGAGGAACTCAATGCAAAATGTAAATCAGTTGTAGGAAAGCTATTTATTTCTAAGACACAAACAAAATGTTTAAAACACAAATATGCATTGACAATGACTTAAACGTGAAGAAATAACTTATAACTATTCTCTCCTGGGAGGCTGATACTTAAAACAAGAAAACAGGAAGCATTTTGTCAGACTGAAGAATTGACATTTTACCTTCGACTTAGCTCTGCACTATTTCCTTCAAGCTTATTTCTTCTAGCAAGCCAGACCAGTGACTGAGTTCCTCATCTTATTGGTAGTCATCTTTACTTCCAGGAAAAATTGTTGTGGTTGGATGAAGCATCTCCCATAGTGCAGTCAGGAGATCCCAACCTGTCAGACTCACAAAGTTATCTCCAATCAATCAATAAGCAAGAATCTATTGAGTGCTTGCTATATACCAAATACTATTCTAAGCACTGGTGATACAAATAAAAAGGAAAATAATCCTTGCCCTCAAGGAGCTTACATCCTAATGGAGGAGATGGCATGAACATAAATTCGTTTGTACAAGATACTTACAGAGTAAATGGAAGGTAACGTTATAGGTGGAAGCACCAGCAGCAGGGGTGCTGGGGGAGGGGGGAGGAGTGTTAGGACCAAGAAAAACCTTTTACATAAAGTAGAATTTGAGCTGAGTCTTGAAGGAAGCAGGGATTCTAAGAGGCAGAGATGAAGAGAGATAGCATTCCACGCTGGAGGACAGCCAGGGCAAAAGTAAGAGTGGGAATAATGTTTTTTTTGTTTGTTTGTTTTATTTTTAGGCAACTGGGGTTAAGTGACTTGCCCAAGGTCACACAGCTAGTAAGTATCAAGTGTTTGGTCTGAGGTCAGATTTGAACTCAGGTCCTCTTGACTTCAGGGCCAGTGCTCTATCCACTGTGCCACCTAGCTGCCCCCTAAGAGTGGGAATATTGTGTAGAAGGTATAATAAGGTCAGTAGGAATAGTCCATAGGCTATGTGGAGGAGAAATATGTGTGAGAAGACTGAAAAGGTCATACTGTGAAAAGCTTTAAATGCCAAACAGGCATTTGTATTAGCTCTTGGCGGTAATAGGGAGACACTGGAGTTTATTGAACAGTGGGGTGAAGTGATCAGATCACTTTAGGAAAATAATTTTGACAGCTGTGTAGAGAATCGATGGGAATGAAGAAACTTGAGACAGGAAGACCAACTAGTAGCCTGTTACAATAATCTATGTAAGTAGTAATGAGGCCCATAGCTAGGCTGGAGGTTATATTAGAAAAGGATGGAGGTGGGGCTAAGATGGTAGAGTGATTGGAAGCAATGCAGCAAGCTCTTCTCTGCAAACTCCTCCTAACAATTCTAGAAAATGCATCAGACCAAATCCTAAGGAGAAATTTCAGAAAAAAAAAGTCACAATGAATCCTTTGTTCAGCCCAGCTTGGCATAAGGAAATGGATGGGTCAGGCCAGGAGTAAGCAATTCAAGGAACACTCCAGTGCTGAGGGAGAGGTTGTATACCAGGGCAAGAGACAGTTTCAGACTGATGCCAGGATGCCACTAGACCCATGCTGGGGCTCTGAGATAAGGATAGGTGCCAATCAGTAGCTTTGTCACACATTCCCCAGGCTCTGGCCACAGATCCAAGGCAGAGTGAGAAAGGTACCTGTACGTGGCCTCCCTCCAGAATAGGGAGGCCCTGGGTGGTGTACTGAGAAAGAAGGAAGTTCAGAAGCCAACAGCAGCAGCTGTGGTGTGGTGTGGCTTATGCCTCATGTGCAGAGCAGGGTCTCACTTCCAACACTGGCCCACCCTGCAAAGGAATAACCAAGGTGAGAATCTCATATGTAAGGGGAGCCTACAATTTTGTGCTCTGAGTTAACAGAGCTTTCCAGCTAACTGACTAGGGTCAGAGTTCAGCAGCAATCTGCCCTTATATAGACTTAAACACAGGTCAGGAACTTACAAAGCTCAAACCAGAGGGGCAGCCATCAGACTTCATCCTAAATTAGACTATTTTGGGAATGCTGAAAGCTTATAGATTCCAAACTATCCCTGAGATCCTGGAACAACTGAATACTCAATACTCTAAAAAAGTAACAGTAAGACCAGCACAGACCTGCTCTCCAGATGTGCTGCATTGTACAGCCTTAAAAGCAAGCCCGAAGTCAGGAAATAGGTGGGAAGAAAGGGAAAGGGAAAAAAAAAGAACTCCACCATGAGCTATTCTGGTGGAAAGGATACACAAGACATAAACACAGAAGAGAATGACTCCAAAATATCTACAAGTATTGCCTCAGAGAAAGACACAGTTTGGGCACAAACTCAACTAGCATTCCTAGAAGAGATGAAGCAAGAATTTTTTTAAAGAGTTAAGAAAATGTTTTTATAAATAGAATGAGAGTACTTGAGAGAAAAATTGGAAAATAAATGAGAGCTATGGAAGAAAGCATTAGAAAGGGAATTAACGGATTGGCACAATAGGTATAAAACTTTTCCCAAGCAACAACTTCCCTAAAAATTTGAATGAACCAAATAAAAGCCAATGATTCCAAGAAGAAACAAAAAAAAATGAAAACAAAGTCAAAAGGAGGGAGGGAGAGAGAAAGAAAGGGGGGAAGAGGGAGAGAGAGAGAGAGACAGAGAGACAGAGAGAGAGAGAAAGAAAGGGGAGAGAGAGACAGAAAAGAGAAGAGAGAGAGAAGAGAGGGGAGGGGCAGCTAGATGGCACAGTGGATAGATCACCGGCCCTGGAGTCAGGAGGACCTGAGTTCAGATCCAGCCTCAGACACATGATACTCACTAGCTGTGTAACCATAGGTAAGTCACTTAACCCCATCACCTCACCAAAAAAAAAAAAAGAAGAAGAAGAAGAAAAGAAAAGAGAGGGGAGAGAGACAGAGAGAGAAATTTAAGGTATCTCATAGCAAAGATGGCTGATATGGAAAACAGATCAGGGAGGGTGGAATTTTAAGAATTATTGGACTCTCTGAACAGCATGACTAAAAAAGGGGCCTGAAATGTCAAGAAATCTTAAAAGAAAACTGCTCAGATCTCTTAGAACCAGAGGGCAAAGTAAAAATAGAAAGAATCCATTCATCTCCTCCTAAAATAAAAGCCAAAATGAAAACACACACATGATTTAGCAACCACCACTATAAAGAAGCAGAGAACTTGGAATGTGATATTCCAGAAGGTAAAGGACACGAACTTCCAGCCAAGAATAACTTATTCAGAAAAACTGAGGATAATGCTACAAGGGGAAAATGAATTTTTAATGAAATAGAGGACTTCCAAGCATTCTTGATGAAAAGACCAGAACTACAGATAGATTTCAAAATAAAAACACAAGAATGAGTAGAAATATAAAAAGTTAAAGATTAACCAACAATGATAAAGGACTAAACAGGGATAAACTACTTACATTCAAACATGGGGAAATGATACCTGTGTCCCTTTTGATCCCTAACATCATCAGGGTTCACAGAAGGAATCCAATTAGATGAGATTGGAAGTAGTTCTGATACACCTTGATGATCTTAATGAAAGAATGAAAAGAGAAGGGAAGAGGAATACCCTTTTGGGTGGAGGGAGGGAAAGGAAGTGGGAGGAAATTATCTCACATAATGATGGTGTAGAAGGAGACATCTGTACAAACAAGGAGGAGAGGTAGAGGGCAGATACTGACACGTGAACTTCACTCTCATCTGTACTTGTTTAAAGAAGGAAGAATATATACACAGGTACAGAAATAGATTTCACTCAATAGGAAAACAGAAGGGAAAAAGGAGAAGGAGGAGTGGGAGGGCAGGCTAAGGAAGGGATTAGTTCTAAGCAAAACAAATTCTAAGAATATACACAAATATTTATAGCTCTTTTTGAGGTGAAAAAGAATGAGAATATGAAGGAGTGCCCATAATTGGGGAATGGATAAACAAGTTATGGTATATAAATGTGATAGAATACTATTGAGCTGAACTCTTACCAGCAAAATTACCAAACAGGATTGCAAAAGACTAATGATTAAACATGCTACCCACCTCCTGATAGAGAGGTGAAGGATTCAGGATGTAGAATGAGATATTTTTTTAAGGACAGGGTCAATATGGAAATTTGTTTTGATTGACTATACATTTTTGTAATAAGTTTTATTTTTCTTGTCTTATCAATGGGAGAGGGGAGGTAGGGGATGAAAAGGCAGATCTTAGCTGATTAAAACAAAGTGAAAAAGAAAACTTGGGAACTCTGATCAACATAATGACCAATTGCAATTCCTAGGGACGCATGATGAAATATTCTGCCTGCCTCCTGACAGAAAAGTGATGGACTCAGTGTGCAAATTGAGACCCTTATTAGATATGCCAGTAAGAAATTTTGTTTTGCTTGATTATATAACAGAGGTTTTGTTTTTCTTCCTTTCTCAATAGGGAGTTAATCTTTGTTTGAAAATAAAATTTAATTTAAAAATTAGAAAGGGAGAGATGTTTTGAAGGTAGAAGTGACAATATTTGACAAATGGTTAAATATATACATTGAGGAAAGTGAGGAGCTGAGGGTAACATCAAGGTTTCAAACCTGAGTGACTGGAAGGATGGTGATGCCCTTGTAAGAGGGATGGGTTTTGATAAGGAGGTCTATTTTGGAAGTGTGGCATTTGAGATGTCCAATAGGGACTGGAGCTCAGGAGAGAGACTAGTGCTGGATATGTGGATCTGGCAGTCATCACAGAAATGATAACTGAATAGATGGGAACTGATGAGAGAACCAAATGAGAAAATAGAAGAGCATCCACAGTGTGAAATGGCACAGATGAAGATATAACAAAGGAAACTAAGACAGAACGGTCAGACAGGTAGGACAACCAACAGAGAACAGTGTTATGAAAGGCCAGAGATAAGAGAATAAATATCCCAGAAGAAAGAGTAGCCAACAGTGATAAATGCTGCAAAGAGGTAAAGGAGGATGAGGACTGAGAAGAGGCCATTAGATTTGGCAATTAAGGGTGGTAAAAACAGAGGGTCAGGTGTTGGGAGTTGAGCAGATTGAGAAATTAAGAAGTTAGGACATTTGAAAGGGCAAATCAGCAATTACTGTTGATATCCCCCAGAAGGCAGGATTTGTTGGGAAGAGAGAAACTCTGAATTAGGCACTAAACTCTAGGCTAGATATATCCATCTCAGCACTGTGGGGTCACTCCTACTTCAGGAAAGAACATGCAAAAAGGCATCTAGAGTATGCCAAAGAGGTAAAGCCAGTGCCTCTTGTTAGTCTCATCTAATTGAGCCCCTGCTCTAGCTGCCATGTGGGAGCAATCACCATTTCTGCAAAGATCGAGGAGAGTACCACCCCCCCTCAAGAAGACAGGGTGGAGAGAGAGAGAGAGAGGAGAGAGAGAGAGAGAGAGAGAGAGAGAGAGAGAGAGAGAGAGAGAGAGAGAGAGAATTTCTCATACTTGTAGAGAAAGAGGTAAAGGAGAGGGGGAAGAGAAAGGGTGAAGAAGTGGGAGACAGAGGGAGAAGAAGAGAAAGAGGAGAGAGAGAAGAAGAGAAAGAGGAGAGAGAGAGAAGGGCAGAAAGAGAAAGAAGGAGAGGGGGAGGAAGATGGGAAGGAAAGAGAGGGGAAAGAGGAAGGAAAGGGAAACAAGAAGTAAGAAAAGGAGAGGGAGAGGGACATGTGAGAGAATAATCTTCCACTCTCCTTTTAAAACAAATAGTTTTTAATGTGAAATGCACAGACCTCCTGGGCTCCATGAATTTGTATGAAAAAAAAATTGCGTTTTATTTTCACTAACTTGTAACTGAAATTTAGCCTTTCCTTCAATTACAGATGTTGGCAACAGACATTATTCTCAGAAGAGATCCATAGGTTTCACCAGGTATGACACCAAAAAAGGTTAAGAACCCCTGTTTTAAACTAGCAAATACCCTATTACTACCATTGAGGGGGACCAAGAGACCGAAGGGTTGCTGCATCACCCCACAGTGTCAAGCCCTTCAGCACCAAGCCCAAACACATAGACCCAACATAAGTGCTTCAGGGTCCCACAAATGAAAGCAGGGGGAGATACTCACTTGTTTATGCCTATTACACTTATAATCTAGTTGAGAAGATAAGACATGTAACAAATAACTATAAACAAATAATAATGTGTTGGATACCCAAGAAAAGAACAAACACACTATATAAAGTAGAGCTCTCTTCTGGCTGGTGAAATTAGGGAAGCCTTCATGAAAGATGTAATATTTGAAAAGTTTAAAGGTTGATAGAGTTTCCATGGGCAAAGAGGGAGAGGAAAGTCATCCTAAACATAAGAGAATGACTTGAACAGCAGTCATTCTCAGTAGAGGCAGAGACTAATGCATAGAGACAAAGCATAGAATTTTTTCAAGGGACGATAAGTAATTTAACTTAACCAAAGAACTGACTACATGGTAGCAAGTAGTGTGAGATAATCTTGGGTAGGCAGATTAGTGTTGTGTTATAACTGAGCCATGGAGGTAGCTAGGTGGTGCAGTGGATAGAACAACTGCCCTAGAGCCAAGAAGACTTGAGTTCAAATCTGGCCTCAGACATTTGCCACTTAACTACCTGTGTGACCCTGGGCAAGTCACTTAATCCCATTGCCTAGCAATAAATAACTGAGCCATGACCCCCAGGATAAAATATTTAGACTTTATTTAGGAAGCAATGAGGGCAATTTAAGGTTTTGTTTGTTTTGTTTCATTTTGAAACCAGAGGAGTGAGATGATCAGAGTTTTGCATTAGGAAGATTAATCTGGCAGTAGTGTGCAGGGGCTGGAGTGAAG